TCAGATGCTCATCTCATTGCCAAACAGGGTCGCAAATAAAATGCAGAGAAATCTTTTGGAGTGTTTCAAATTGAAAAATTTCGCGAGTATCGTTTGCTTTGCAACGAGTCGGGCGATCTATACGCTTAACGAAGCATTGTATCTTTATAAAATTGAAGTGGATACGGCCGTAATGTCAATGCTGATCAGTAAAATCTTTTTTATTCTCAATTCAAACGATTTACTTTCTGTCGTTGATATCATAACGGAATGGTGTATTTCAAATGTGAACAACATTCGGCCTTTCGTTCAGAAAATTTTGCTAAATATTGAAGCGCACAGTGTCGAAAACGTGGCGATTTTATTTTTAAAGCACTCGCGATTTGTTCCAAATATTTTTGGAGACTTAATTAGAAACGATAATTGGCGCCACACTCTCGCCACGAGAATTCCACTGATGTCTTGGTATAAGGACGAGCAACTGATTAAGAATTTCATTTCGTATCTTTATCATGCTCAAAGCGCCGATGATAGAATCCTTGTCGATATTACGAAAAAATTAATCGACATTTGGGGTGACCAGAGTGCTTTGAATCACACGACCTTCGATCAGCATTTATACATAACGAAACTCATAATACTGGCCGTTAGAATTATCAAGAGTAGTTTATTATCGAACGAACAGAGTGAAATTCAGCAGCTTGTCTTTGCTGGTATTCCCGCGCATTTATCCTCGACCGAAGTTGAAGTACGAGCTATTGGTATGGTAACGGGCGAAATACTTACCGAATTGCTCGTTGACGTTAAAAAGATCGACGACAAGTTGAAATTCGAATACGACGGTATGGATAAAAATACCATGCAGCTGGTTAATGCATTAAGAGCTCTAAGAATTTCATACCCAAATCCGAATGACAGTGAAGATCGATGCAAAGACTTGACACTTAATAATATGGAATTCCCGAACTTGGGTATGAAAAAAGTATTCGAATTAGGCGTTGAATGTGGAATTCTAACGGATCCCCGTGCGTCGATTGATGAACGATCAACGCACACCGTTGAAGCAATGAAGCTACCCGTGAAAAAGGAAACGATGATTATCGTTACAGAAAATGCAGCTGCCCAGGATGAAGAATTGGACAGCGATGACGATTTGGTACCCTACGATATGTCGAACGACGCCAGGGAATCCGAGCGATTAAAGCCATTGTATTTGCGCGATCTGCGGGACAATCTGGTGAACACAGACAGCAAGAATTTGGAAAATCCCGAGATATTTTCGGAGACGTTAAAAATTAGCGAGGAATTGATAATTCGTCAATTGGGAAACGACGATCCAAGTTTCGCCTGCGAATTACTCGAGATATTTCTGAATCTTCAGGAGAGAGGCTCCGTGGATGACTTTGAAGTTTTAACGTTCAAAGCTTGCGTGGCCATTGTCACGGTACATCCCAATGAAACGGCTAAATACATTTGCGTCGAGTTCCACTCGGAACTCTCCAAATACTCGGTGCAGCAACGACTTCTCATGTTAAATATTTTGTGCGAAGCGGCAAGCAGCCTTTCGCGAATCCCAGTAACAAGCGACATCAGCAGTACGGTGACGGTTACTACACTTGCTAAAAGAAAGAAATTATCAAGGCCAATCAATCTGTTTATAGAAACGGACAAGTCAAAGAAGTATGAAAGTATGTACGACGATGACTATGATGATCCGACGAATGACGCGTGTACGAGTATCGATTGGTATGAGATTGTGCAAGACAGGATTCACTCGAAAACTCGTCACTTTGCACACGAAACCAAATTACCAAAAACGACTATCAACAAATTTGGAAACTTCGTGTCGTCGTTCTTTTATCCCCTAATCTATGGCTTTGGTAATCCAAGACAAAGCTTCATGTACGAATTACCTCAAAGTTATCAAGATCACGAGAGCATACTTTTAACGCGCTACCTCGAAACCTTAGCTACCATCATGATTGCAGCGCAAAATTGTCCATTAAGCGTTAAGATGGCTAAAGAAATTTTAGAATTAGCTTGGACATTGAGATACCATGAAAGGGGCAGAGTGAGATTGGCGATCATGAAATGCGTAGCTGCTGTGCTTATTAGTGTGCCCGAATTCGAATTGAAACGCGAATTATTGAGCGCGCTTATGGAAATTAGATTATGGCTGGTAGACGCGACGAAAAATTCACTCATAGGAGATCCGGATAAAAATTGCCAGGAACTGGGAAAACACGTGCTGTACTTAATTAATTCCATATTTCAAGAAGTAATTAAACAAGAATTGCAAATAGACAATTTCTTGTAAAATGCTCCACTTTCTTACCGCTGACAATTTAAATATAATTTAATGGAATTTACGGCCAGTTAACTGTAATCGATTAACTATAATCAACCAATTAGTCAACGCTTCTTTACTATCCTCGAGAATTATTAGTATGTAATGGGAAAAGGAGCCCACATACGCAAATTTTATATGAAAAATGTAATTATCAATTTATCATTATAATAATACAATAGTAATCTCTATTCTTTTCTATTAATTGTATGAATAATCTAATGAATTATACGCAGACACGAACTCGCGGCCGCCCACACACACAACAAACAAACAAACAAACAAACAAACAAACAAACATTGCACCGATAAAACTGAAGTTTTTATAAAACATTTTTCGAACTATTTCTTTAAATGTAAATATACTTTAATTACATAATAAAACCAATAAATATTATATAATCGATATTTATAATTATTAAATACTAGTAAATAATAATTGTTTTTATAATACTATATTACGATTATAAATTTTTTTTTTTATAGAAATCGCTTTAATTGTCATTTTATATAGGAATATTTATACCAAAATTTTTTTTGTAATAGTAATTAATTATTACGCAGTTTAATTTACGAGGAAATAAAGATATAATAGTTTAAGTAATGTTTATCAAAAGTTAGTCCAAAAACATAACTATTAAAGCATAAACTTTGGATTGAACTTCTTCTTACAGATGTTGTATCGTTAAATTGTAAATCGTCAAATGTGCTTGATTAAGCTATAAATTATACCTCATTCCTATTCGATATTTCAATGCCAATGTATTCAATAATTCATAGTTTAATTTTATGAAATGAAGGTCTTATAAACAAATACATCTAATTTTATGGAATAAGAATTTTTGTCAATTTCAAGAAACTTTTGAAAACTTGTAGTGTATGCAAATATGCATTGTTGTTTATATTGTAATTTCTTAAAAATGTAACGCTCAACAAAAAAAAAAAAAAAAAAAAAAAAAAAAAAAAAAAAAAAAAAAAAAAACGATGATATAAATGAAATAAGGACATTTGGAAGATATGTAGAATTTTGTAGAGGAGCTCTTTAAAAATAAATAATTATTCGCTAACATATGACTTTTTATGAATACTGTCTACCGCAGTCGAATAATCTATATTTTAATTTTGACAATTATTAAACATAATTCGTAAATTCTTGAATAGATAAAGCTACTACGACGAGATTACATGATATTCTATACGCTATGAATTTATTTATCCAATATCTTCTCAATTTCTCATATTAAGAAATTTATGGCACTTAAAACAAATTAAAACGACAAATATCAATTTATAAAAAATAATCATGTCAATTTTTTTCATCAACCTCGTGGAAAGTCGTATTAATAAACAGGATATCAATACTTTAAAGCTAGTTTGTTGCACTTTTCGTTTGATAAGCAAACTTTGTCATAATATTAGCGCGAGAGGGTTCGCGTGCCATTTTCACCGCTCGCAGATCAATACGACAAAGCCCTCAAATTAATGATTGAAAGGCCTATGGAATTAAAAGAGAACGAATGATAAAACAGGTCTTGCATCGTCGGTGAATCTGCTGATGCCGATCAGCAGCTCGACGATGGGCCAACAGCAAGCGGGCGGCAAGACGATGATCCAGGTTGGCTCCACCTGGAAGGGCGCCGGTGGTCTGAATATCGATCTTGACAATATCATGGGCAGTAAGACGAAGCAATCGGGCCCCGCGCCGACGATGAACCAACTGGCGACCGGGAGTCCCCAGCACCAGGTTAAGCCCGCTCCCGGTAAGTTCACGATGAAGGTTGCATTTCTAGCGGCAGTCGTTCGATAATTTCATTTATGATTATTTTCATTGTTTGATTGAGAAGCTTGGACCGGCGGCTTTTAGCTCGAGACCTCAAGCACCAGCACGTATCGCCTTCGAATCTAATTGTTTCGAACAATTATTAAAATTCAATCAACATTATAAAAAGGATCAAATGCAGAAATGGCTTAACAATTGGAAAACAAAAAAAAAACAAAAAACAAAAAACAAAAAAAGGAAAAAGGAAAAAAATATCAATGTCATTTGAAACTTGAAGATGAGCTGTTTTTATATATATTTTAACAATAAGTTTATCGTAAAAAAAGAATTTACGAAAATGATATGCTTTTGTAAAAATTGTGTATGTTGTAAAGTGTCACTTATTTGCATTTTAAATAATATCGATAGCCTTAATTAAGTGATTAAATATATTTCTTTTCAATTCTTCAAGTTCTTCCATCGATGATGCATTTTACATCGCTACGGTCACGGCAATCTTTCATGCATTTTAACGATTCTTAAGTAAGGCGATAATTAGTGAAAAAAATGCCTTTTATATATATATTACTATTACTTCTACTACTACTACTTACTACTACTTCTACTACTAGTAATTTTCCAACAGTGCCAGTCGCAAGATAAACTGAGAAGAAATTAATCAGCGTGAATAGTGAAAATAACATGCAATGTGTTGTTTTCTTAAATGAAAAAAACTACAAAGGCTCATTCGAATGCTATTCGTAACAACGATCATCGTAAAAGTTGTGTAGATATGAGATTTTAAACAGAGAGAAAGAGAGAGAGAGAGAGAGAGAGAGAGAGAGAGAAGCGCATGACTTTTATATATACACATACATATAATTATTGTAAAAAGTGAAAGAAACGAATGAAATAAATTTTGCCTCTCTCTTTTCAAATGTACAATGTCGGTTTTTTAATGGCATTTGTATAAATTTAGAATACGGAGCTGGCGAAATCAAGTAAATAAATTGTAGATCTTTAAGGCCGTAAAATTGTAAAATATGTTGTTCGAATTTGAAAGAATAGACTTAATACTGACGATGAATTATAATTGTGCTTCCTGAAGTTAATCCTCTATAATTTTGTACCTAATATATGCGTGTGTGTGTGTGTGTGTGTGTGTACACACACACACACACATATAAATATATATATATAAATATATATATATATATATATATATATAATGTATAAAACAGAGGATGAAAAAATGAGAAGAAAATGTGGTTGCAATGACCAAAAATTTTAGTTACAAATACTTTATAAAATTATGTATGCGTGTGATTTTCAAAAATTTTAAAATTAAATTGAATAATACAATGTGATTAATAATAGTTCTATATAATTTTTGTTCAATGTACACTTGCAGATTAATTGTGATTATCACGACAACAATATTTATAGTGCTTTAAGGATAAATGTGTGTATTTTGAATAAAATTAAATATTTATTTTTTAAATATTCATTCAAATGAATGTAAAGTAATAATTAGTATAAATATTTAAGATATTGTTAAGTAAAGTATAAATTAAAATTAAAAACAAAACAAAAAAATAATATCATTAAAGATTTTGATGCCAATTTTTGCATTTTAAACTTAAGAAAATATGTAACTTTAAGATATCGAATACTTATTTTCTGTACATAAAACAAAATTAAAAAAAAAAAATAATAAATTTTTAACGTTTGTTAGTGATTTAAAGAAAAAAATGAAAATTATTGAAAATCACAAGTGTATCATGAGATAAAATTAAGAATAGATAAATTACCTAAAAATGGAGAAAAAAAAATGAGAATCGAAAAGGTTTTTACGATATTGTGTCGTTAGTGCACAAAAATTAGTACGATTTAGATAGTTCAACATTTTTATAATTGTATAACTTTTTGCGTTAACATTATTTTAACAATATACTTGCACGATTATATTTTGTTATGTGAATTACTGATATATGTGTTCGTGCACGTATACCCTAGCGACAAAACTTGATAATTGAAATGAATGCATATCGTTTTCAATATAACAAATAAATTCAAGACACATTATTTTAAAGATAATTATTAGACTTAAGCGTTGAATAACAGCTAGGTTTGCCAAGTTATAACCATATTAAATTTTTTTCCCTTATATATTAAATAAGAAATCATTGTTTTTCTTAATTTTATTATTAATTATGTTCTTTGCTAATTTTAATTCACTGTCTCTAAGAATCTTTTAGTGTTGTTTTCTTAGTGGCAGCGAATACAAATAGCAAAGGTAATATTGTTTGGTTTGATAGGTAAATTTAGCTGTACTGTAGTAAGTTCATTTATAAAATTCAGGTAATTCTGTAAGTAACTAATATTATTTCTTTGAAGAAAACAGGAAAAGAATTATTGAAAATTCTTTCAAATTACAATTAGAACCTCGAAAACGAGACTGAAACTTCAAGGGCTAACTACTACCATATATTCAATAATTTCACAAACTTCTTTGTAAATACGATAGCGAAGTGACGGGAGCTGTAAAAATAATTAAGTAATAGTATCATTCCTGTAATCAAATCAGTTTTTCTAAAATTAATGATTACTAGAGCATCACAAACGAGAATAATGTCGAATGAAGTTGAAGTGCATAAATTAACTCGATGCAGCTTATTAAATTTTTTCTAATGTTAGATTATTAAATAAAAATTGTAATTATTGTTTTAAGTATTTATATCTATGCTGCAGTATAGCAATATTATGATTAAATGCTCATTGGTGCTGGTTATAATTTATAAAAGTGTTTTCATTTTATTTACTCAAATATTTAATAAACAAATTTCTACACCTTAACAATTTAATTATATTATGAAAATTAAAAATTGTTAAACTTTACTATTATTCAATATTTCTTTTTTAATGTAATAAAAGGGTAATAATAGTAATTTTCAAATATATGTTTATTAATAAACATCACATTTAAAGCAAATAATTAAAAATAAATTTTTTAAAAGTAAATTATTCTATATTCTATACCCAAACTTATTGTAACTATAAAATTAATTTTATATATAACTTTGTTAAATGCATTTTTTATTTTTTTTTCAATACAAATGTGTAAAATGTTTTTTTAATTCATATTATACTTAAAAATTTTCACTTATTTTATTATATATCAGTAATAATTATTCGAATTATGTTTTTTTTGTTTTTTTTTTTGTTTTTTTTTGATAAACGATTTATAGGAGACTATAGTGTATATAACTATTCTGAAAAATTTCAAAAGTAATAAAATTATTACATGTTTAAAATTGAAACGTTACAAACTTTAGTTATTGTAATTATTATAGTGTCTTTGTTATATAGATAATCGACAATGATTGTATAACAAAATGTTTATTTACATATATAAATTGAAGGCTGTACTGTGAAACTTTCACAGAAAGTATACTTTTTTGCACCCTTAAAAGAAATATTTTTATGCAAAATTTTTTTTAAGAACACTTACAAAACATCTGTATTCAAGAAAATATACATCTGCACAAAATACCTTTAAGAAAAAGAACAAAAAATTTTCTTTTGCTGTATACTTATAATTATATTCATTCATTCTCAGCATTTTTGGACTTCTTTTTCTTTTTCTTCTTCTTAGGTACATCTTCTGCCTCATCAACATCCATTTTCTCAATACCCTCTCCTCCATTTTCTTTATTGTGACCATTTTCCAACGTCCCATTCGCATCACCATTTTCTAATCCTTCACTTTTTCGTTTCTTGTCCTTCTTCTTTTTCTTTTTCTTAGATTCTTCTTCGGTAGCGGTAATTAATAGCGAAGCTTCTTTTATTGCTTCTTCCATAACGTCTACATTCTTTTTAGGTATATCTCCAGTTTCATAAAACTTTAATCTGTCTTCCACCTACATAAATTCAATAATTAGTTTAAGTTGAAGTTTTTTGTATAGCAAATAATAAATATATCGTTTAATTGATTATAAAGTAAAAGCAATGGAGAAATATATATTTTTCGTAAAAATCTTTATAATTTTTAAAACATGTAGAAAAAAATATATTGTGTAAATGAGATTTCAAGCAAACTATTAATGTGTTCTATATTCGTAACTATTTGAAAATATTTTAAAATTCCTTTTTTCTATTAGGTCATAAATTACATTTTCTTAATTAAATATCGCTAAATATTGATAAAATATATATTAATTTAACGAACTTGTTGACGTAGTTTATCTCCAAAGACACTGCAAGGAGTTTCGGCAAAGCAGTCTATTCTCGAGGCAATAGAGCATTTGTTTGCTAAATATCTTGAAATTCTACCTTTGTTTTTAGTACCTGCACGACCAATAAAAGTTGAGTGGAACAACAATCCATATTTTGGTGTATTCCCTTTTGTTTTTAGAGCTCTGAATAAAGCTTTTTCAGCACCTTGATTAAAGAAATGAATAAAACAATAGAAATAATAAATATTTGGGTGTATTAAACAAACAGATTTCATAAGTCGTATCCATAGTATTTTAAAAAAACTAATGGAAAATTTTAATGAAAACTATTTATATTTATATATAAATAAATATATATATATATATATATATATATATAACTATAATTTTCTATAATAAAAAAAAAAATTTTTTTTTAATTACTTACTGAGCATCTTATGAATTAATTTATAATTAATTCAAATCAAATTAATATCAACATTGTAATATATTGTTAACTTTATTGATAAACATAGTATATACTTTGAAATGAGAAATACCTAAAATTTGAACTGTAGAAGCAGGATATTTGGCCAAATTTGTTAGAGATCCGGCATGTGCAATAAGACGAGCTCCTACTTGATCACCAATCAAAGTTGCCAAGTTTGGAGCTACTCCAGCCATTTTTGATTTCAGGTATTCAGCTAATTCCTTTCTATAATCAGCTAAGGCTATTACTCGATTTGCAAACATATCAATATTTAAGAGATCAATTGGGCTGATATCCATTCCCATTGATGATTTTGAGGCGTCAATTATAGCTTGAGCCCTTATGCCATCCATTACAATTTCTTCCAAACCATCAAATTTCTCATCATTTAATTCTTTTCTATTTTTAATAAATTGAACTATTCTTGCGTACATGTAGTTATCAGGAACGAGCTTGACAAGTTCCGGAAAATGGTAACTGTACCATTCTCTAAATAAAAAATCAAATTACATTTTTTCCCATATGTTTATATACATCAGCATAACTTAAGCAACTATTATTGTATCTATTTTAACTTTTACTTCGAGTCACAGTAATAAAAATAAGAAGACACGTAATACATAAAGCATGAAATAAATATTGTAATATTTATTAAATTTTATTAAATATTAAAAACTTATAACAAAAAGTGTTATCCTTGATATCATCGTTACATCAATATAGATTATAAAAGAAATTTATTATAGTTACCTAATACGCATACTGAATGTGTTAATATCTTTATCCAGTTGATCAAGCAATGCAATACTTTGAATAATCATATTATCTACTCGATTAACATTAAACTTGACTTTAGCTCTGGAATAACTATGACCTAAACCAAGTTGTGCTATTCCAGAGCCTTTATTCGTAAAACCTTTTACCAAATTGTGGAAGTGAAAACGAATTCCACGAATAATTTCAGGTATTACCCCAGTATGATCGCATTTTATTTGTAATACTTCTGTAATACTGGCACCTAATTTTGGATCGGTGATTCCAAGTATAATTTTCTCCTTCTTACTTGCCTTCGGTATTGTTGAATCTAAAAAGAGTTGCAAGTCTTCTGGTACAATACCTTCCGATATGCTATTTATGTTCTCCAATGCTATTAAGGCAGTTTTAAATGGTGTAAAGCCAATAAGTTTGACCACTTGATTAAAACGAGACAATTCAGTTACAGAGGCTTCAACCTGGGGCAGTAACATGCCCACCTCCTCAAATTCTCTAACAGAAAAAACTGCATAACCAGCAGCATGTTCAAAAAGTACAAATAACTTAGACTGCAAATAAAATAAAGACTATTAAAAGAAATGCATGGCACGATTTGAAAAATACATTACAAGTATGCCATGCTTTTTATTTACAATTTGTTTAAAACCACATGTGGACGCTAATATAGGTTAAGAAGCTAATACAACGTGTACATAATTAACGTTTCATAAAAGTAACGTCTAATCACTTAAAAATTACTTACCATGGTTAAGTTTTTCTTTACAATTTATATTTGAAACCTTTTGCTTTTAATTTGATTTATTTTCATTGTTATATATATATCTCTGATTTTAAATAATACAAACTATCGGCGTGCACAGGAAATTAGAGTTGACGAAACGGAACTTAAGTTCTTGTCTGACTCCATTTTTGGTGCATTTATACCTAGCGCCCTCTATCGGTGGAAAGAAATTTAAATTTAATTACGGAAATTGAACGTTTTAAGTTTATCTGAGACAAAGAGAGAGAGAGAGAGAGAGAGAGAGAGAGAAAACAATAATTAATAAATAAATTCAAATTAACTATTAGTTTAATCAAACTTTCCTTCTTTAAGTAGGTACGTTAATTTTTTAATTTTCATCTAAAAAATATGTGACGTTTTCAATGTAATAAACTTGCAAATTGTAATGAAAGTGAATTCTAATTTAATAAAATTAATTTTTGCTAACGAGGCTGGAGATTTTATTTGAATTGTTGGTATAAGGATAACGAGCACGTAAATAATAAAATGCTTGATTAGTAATAATAATTATAATAATCATAATATTCTTTATCTTTTCATTCAATATATACTCCCTCACTCTCTCTCTCTCTCTCTCTCTCTCTCTCTCTTTCTCTCCCTCTCTCTTTACCATGCGCGCATGCATACGATACAATTAACAATAAATTAATTAATTAATAATAAATATTGAGGTAAAGGATATTCGTAAATGTAAAACTGAATTTTAATCGTATTACCTATTGTTATTATTTGCTGATTTATCATTGGGTAAATGAAATTGAGTATCGACAATAATGTCTAATGAAATGTTTGTGTACAACGCTGACCTATAAATCCCGTATTAAAATAATGAAGGACGCATTTGCAATTTAAAGCAGTTAAGGAAAAGAACTAAAAATAGACAATAAAATGCCCATGAATATAATAATTCTCGTCAGATTACCGAGGTGGGCTGACTGTCATTAATATAGGCACAGTCTCAATCTTCGATAAATAACGCGAGCGGTCAATCGCTAAAATCGATATTGGAGCGGGAATAGAAGAAAATCAAGAGGGCAGGACCAAGTTGTCACAGCATAGCCTAAAACTGTCATCGGTTAAATCGTCCCCCGTCGAGACGCAACAAAATTAACCAAAGCTTAAGTTGCGCGCGATTAGTACGACGGCTAATTAAAAAGGCAAGGGGGAACGAACAAAAGTAGTAATAGCGGGATCAGGCTACGCCACCACGCGGGCCTTTGTCAAAACAAATAGCAAACGTAGTATATAACCAGAGCAAGCGAGGAAGCTCAACTTTGTACTTTGTATTACAAGCAACAGCATAATATACGGACGCGCGCGCGCGGGCGCGGCTCTCTCTCGCACACGAGCGCACGCGGTAGCCGAAGTCGCACCCACACGCGCTCTCGCCGCCTCACACGCACAGGATCTCGAAAAGTCCATCGTCCCCGACCCCCGTACCTTGTAGCCGCTGAGTAAGTGCGTGCGGGTATCGCGCGCGCACATTTTCAACGGACGACGGTTCTCGCGCGCGCACATTTTCGACGGACGACGGTTCTCGCTCGCGTCGATCGTTCGTTCGTTCGTTCGCCGCTGTCTCTCTGTCGGGCTCACGTCTCTTCTTTCCTCATCTTTTTTCAACGGCGGGGACCGACGGGCAAGTCGACCGAGTGTCTCGCTGCTCAAGCCGAGTTGCGGAAACGGGAAGAAGAGTGAGTTTGTAACGGCCGATACGGGGGAAACAGCCGCGTCGCGCGCCTAACGAGGTGAGAGGCAAAAAAGTAATTAAAAACGAGGCGAATTCACGCAAAGAGTAATACACGACATACACACACTTAAACGCACATTGGCACATATTGAGGACATACGTGCGTTCATGCACACCTTGATTCGAGCATACGCGCGTACGTACATGCCCGCATACAAAAGCGCGCGCGCTCACACACGCAACCACTACCCGCCCACCACCCACAAATATTCGCAAATATAACTACGCGCAGGAACACCAGGCGAGAACGCACCCGCGCACTCACCCACTCACGCACACCTTCACACGCATGTGCGCTCGTGCATAAATACACGTCTCTCTCTCTCTCTCTCTGCAAATACACACATATACGCGCATACGTGCATATATATATATATATATATATATATATATATATATATATTATATGTGTAGGTATAGGCGCGCGTGTGCGTTTATGCATGCATGAGGTGCGTGCGCGCAAGTGTGCGTTTGTAAAAATCCACCGGTTCTTGAGTGCGGAATAGAAGGTAGTGGAGGTACCGCAGCCCGCGGTGACGCTGACTTCCGAGAACCATGCGACACAATCGCCTAGTCTAATCATTGGCAAGGATAGACGAAAATTCTTTCTCGAAGAAGAGCCAACCGTTTCGTGCCCTCCTCTCGCTCTCTCTCTCCCTCTGTTCGTCCTCCTCCTCTTCCCCTTCCTCTTCCTCTTCCTCTTCCTCTTCCTATCGTTTTCCGTTCCTCTTATTCGGCACAAAAAGAAATCGACTCAGTTGCCCGTAAAGAAGAGGGTGAGAGAAGAAGAGTTATCCGGAAAAGGGGTTACGCGGGAAGAAAACGACGATTACGACGAGGCGCCGGAGGGGGAGGAGGAGATGAACAGCAAGACAGATGTAAATAGGCGGGTACTGGCTATTCAGGCGAAAAAGAAGCGCCACAAGCCTGGCAAACGCAAGGGCAAGGGTGGAGGTGGTGGTACTGGTGTTGGTGCAAGTGCACCAACTAACGTAGGTTCCCAGCCTGATTCTGAACAACAGCTACAACAGCAGCAGCCCCAGCAACAGCAACAACAACAGCAACCACAACCGCAACCGCAACAGCAACAGCAACAGCAACAGCAATTGTCGAAGAATCAAACGAGCCAGCAAGAACAAACCACCTCGGGCTTTAATCAGCAGAACACCAGGAAGTACTATGGTCGCAACGATAGCAGGTAACGCATGGAGTTTTCATTGGAAATCGAGCCATATTTTCCTGGGCAATGCTTTCCAAGCTGAATTCTAAATCAAAATTGATTTTCAATTTAATGCTCTAACAGCTTCTGCGCTTCTCAATTATTGCTTTATTCATTCGTTAATATTAATATCCGTAGTTAGAGTAATTATTTAATGGTAAAACTAAGTTAATCGATCACAAAATAATAGCTACGGTTTACGACAGTCGTAAAGTATTAACATTTTTGATGGGTATAAATATGCAATTAAATCGCTGATGTAATACTTTTAATGCTCTAATATGAAATTAGAATAACAACAAATTTCGTAGTACTAAATCACATTACGCATCAATGATTATTAGCAAGACGTTTTCTATAAAATTATTGAATTATTCAAATAGAAAAATAATTTGTTTATATTCGTATTTGAATAAGTCCAAAAATTGATTAAAAATTATTATTTTTTAATCATTATTTTTAAATTGACTCTAAAATGTTGCTTAAATTCAATACATTCGCTTTGTTTATTATAAAAAATCATAAAATATACGATAATATAAAAATATATATTAAATTATTTATATTTGAAGTTTCGTAAATAAAATTGAAAAGAAATTGTAAGGGAAATATTAAAGATTATAAATACTTATTTCTACGAGGATGTTCAGTCTTTATTAATGATATTACAATTTTGATTTACATATTATAAATTGTAAACAAAATATGATTCCTTATTGATTACCTTATAATCGATCGATTAACATTGTGAATTTTTCTTCGTTTTTTAAAATATAAATGCAGTAGCTTTTATTTAATAGAATATAACGCAAATAAGTTAATATCATATTTGTGGTGTAATTATATAGTTTTATAAATTTAACATAATAAGTAATAATTTAATAATGAAAAAAAAAAATTATAATTCCACAATGTGTTATTGTGAATACTTACATTTTTTTATTAGGTTGCATGTTTATGTAAATATATACTTTATATATATATATATATATATATATATATATATATATATATATATATATGTATATATGGCCAATAGTTTTCCTTATTATTAAAAAAACATAACAATAATAATAATAAAGACGATAAAGTTTTAACTTTAATTAGATTTTATATTGCGGCAACCCTTATTAACGATTAAATTAAATATTTTAATTTTGAATTTATAGGGTAGAATTATGTGCGAGTTCTAGTAACGAAACAATTGAATATATTGACGACATGTATAGTAGTGAAGATGATGAGCAAGAAGACAGCACAGACTATTGCAAAGGTGGTTATCATCCGGTAAAAATAGGAGATCTTTTTTTAAATCGATACCATGTGACAAGAAAACTAGGATGGGGTCACTTTTCTACTGTGTGGTTGTGCTGGGATTTGCAGGTACGAGAATATTTTTCTTTCAAATTTTTCTTTAAAAATAGATGCTTTGGATTAATTAACAATTCTTTTAATGTATTTAATCTTTTTCTATATTGTTTTTATTAGGACAAACAATTTGTAGCACTTAAGGTCGTGAAATCTGCGTCGCACTTTACAGAAACAGCTTTAGATGAGATAAAACTGTTGAAAGATGTACGGGATACAGATCCTACTGATCCAAAACGCAACAAAACCGTCCAGTTGCTGAATGATTTCAAAATCAGTGGCATTAATGGTCTACACGTTTGCATGGTATTTGAGGTGCTTGGACATAATCTTCTTAAGCTGATCATTAAGTCCAATTATAGAGGAATCCCTCGAAACAATGTTAAACGTATAATTAGACAAGTTCTAGAAGGATTAGATTATTTACATAATAAATGTAAGTTATATAAGAAACTTTGTATTTGTAAGTACGTCGTTTCTTTGTTTGAAGTTGTTAAGATTTATCTTACATTGATACAATTCATATTTATGACAAACCGATGTTGAATTTACTGAATTTGTATAACGTAAGAGTTAAATTAGAAGTCAATAATAAATGCTTAAATTTTGCTAATAATTGCTGAATCTTGCTACTACCATAAAAGTGCCCTTATAAATTATTGAGTGAAATATTATTTTTAAATTTGACGATGAGAGGATAAAAATGTCATTGCAAAAAAAAAGTAGTTTAATAAAATATTTGTAAATAAATTTCCCACATATATTTGAAAAGAATTTTTTTTTTTTTTTTTTTTTTTTTTTTTTTTTTTCCATCCCATATGTGCGCGTGTGTGCGCGCGCTCGTGTAAATAGAAGAATCGCGCAGATTAGTTAAAAGTATAAAAAAAAAAAAAAAAAGTTATAAAGTGATAGTATAATGGATGGATAAATGATAAATGCAGATAATTAATTTAGTATAGTTCATAATGATCGATATTTCGTTTTGCAGGCCAAATTATTCATACAGATATAAAGCCCGAGAACGTGCTGATCTGCGTGGATGAGGCGTATATTCGTAATCTTGCCTCCGAGGCGACAGAGCTTCACTCATTAGGTCTTAAGTTGCCTGCATCCCTTATATCTACGGCGCCGAAGCAATTCCAGGAGCCGGTGCCAAATTCCAAGATGTCGAAGAATAAGAAGAAGCGCCTTAAAAAGAAGGCTAAACGTCAGAACGAACTGCTCAAGCGTCAAATGGAACAGATGGAGGAAATGGAAGAGCAAAATAAGCCGGCATTGGATACAAGTGATAGTACAGCCGAAGTGGCAGGTAATAATATTGAGTGTTTTGTTTATCTTTCTTCGGGTTTAGCAATTGTGATATGTGTACAAGGGGAAAGTCGAGCCGAATTAGTCGAATGAACCCTTGGGTAATAATATTTAATATTATTAATTCAGCTTTTCACTTTTCACTATTTAATGTTCGCCGGGAGGCTTTTCAATAGCTCTTCCTCATTTCTTGCCTCATTTATGTAAAACTAACAGTTAACAAACAAAATTACAATCAACTCGTATCGTTCATTCCTACCAATTGCACATTATAATTTAAACTTAATCGCTAACTTGCATGATTTTTACAAAAAAAAAAAAAAAAAAAAAAAAAAGCCCCAAAAAAAAAAAACGAAGCACCGGTAACGAATGCGGATAATAGTGGCGAGCAGGAGCTCAACACGGAGAGTATCGAAGATAATACAGAGAGTAATAAGGAATCGCTCGACAATAGGTCCGAATCATCCTCGCCGCTTATGTACGTCAACGGCATTGACGTGCAGGGAGAGGAGAATGATAAGCAAAAGAACGACGAGGAAGGAGATAAGCTGCAAGAGCAGAATAAACAGCAGCAGCAGCAGCAGCAGCAGCAGCAGCAGCAGGAAGAGCAGCAAAAGCAGCAAACCGAGCAAACCAAGAATCTTGAGAACGTCGTTTTATGTGATATTGAGAAGGCGAGCGGCGAAGGAACGAATCTGATAGTCGATGCCGACGAAGGCGATAACTGTGGTGACGGTGAGCCATTTATTTTCTTTCATTCATCTCCTCGTTACATTCTATAATAATCGATTTTGAAAATATTAGAGCATTAGATTAATGTTCTTCCCTAGTCTCAGATTTTCTTTCTATCTTAAAAATCGTTTCAGATTGTATTTTGAAGCTTTGAAAAAGCATCTTGTTGATACTTAAAGTAATTGGGTAATGGGAAGATCGCCCATGTGATGAGACACGGGACCCTAAAAATTTATCCATTTAATCTTCCAGCTAAAATTGTATGCACGACCAATTGCTTTCTAAGCCATCTGTCCGTCCAATCTATTATCAAAATTTTTTTTATTTACAAATTGCGGATAGCCAATAGATAGATGGATAGTTTGTTGTTTTTTTTTTTTTTTTTGTTTTTTTGTTTGTTTTTTTGTTTGTTTAATCGAAGTATAATTTAAACAGGCGATAAGTCTCAAGCACGCGACAGGAAGCACTTGAAGCGGGCCTCGATGGTCGACCCGGCCATTGTCGATTGCGACGTAGAGGTAAAGATCGCCGATCTCGGCAACGCTTGTTGGGTCCACAAGAAGTTCACCGAGGACATCCAGACGCGCCAGTACCGATCGCTGGAGGTCCTCCTTGGCGCCGGCTACAACACGTCTGCTGATATCTGGTCGACGGCTTGCATGGCTTTCGAGCTTGCCACCGGCGATTATTTGTTCGAACCACACAGTGGCGAAGAGTACTGCAGGTAAGAGTCGTCCCCTTCCGACACTCCATAATTTCCATATTTTTCAACTTTGCGCTATTTCCCTTTCGCTATCGCGGCACGTTATTAATCGGTTCGCCTCAGCATCCGCTTCTACCAGTGCTTATTCTGCGTGATTTTGACGTTTTATATTTTATGTTTCATTCCCATGACTCGACACAATCTAATACAGAGTTTATAAAGCTACGGACCATGATATACCGTGGCCGCTCCGTGGCCCAATGGTTTGAAATATTTGTGACCAGTATCGTAGCACTTTTATATTTTTCGACGCACGGAAAATCATTTCCAAATAAAAGACCTTGAGGTGTAGTACGACTTGACTAAAAGAAGGTATTTCTTGTTACAGGGACGAAGACCACCTGGCGCACATAATTGAGCTCCTTGGTGAGATACCGCGAGGCATAGCACTCACCGGTCGCCATTCTCGCAACTTTTTCAACAAGAAGGGCGAGCTCAAGCACATAACGGGCTTGAAGCCCTGGGGTCTCTACCAGGTCCTTACCGAGAAGTACGAGTGGCCGTCGGTTGAAGCCTACGAGTTCGCCAAGTTCCTTAAACCTATGCTCGAGTTCGATCCGAATGCCCGAGCCACCGCTGCCGAATGTCTTAAACATCCCTGGCTAAAGATCAAGTGAATTCACAAACTCTTTCTCTTTATCTATTTTTCTCTCTTCGTCGTACCCTTCTCTCTCTCTCTCTCTCTCTCTCTCTCTTTCTCTCTTTCTCACTCACTCACTCTCTTCCTCTCTGTTCTCTCTCTCTCTCTCTCTCTCTCTCTATCTCACTCTATTTATCGTCTGTCTGTCTGTCAGTCTGTCCGAATGTCTGTCTGTCTGTCTGTTTATATCATTTTCATCATTTCTCCCGTTGTCTTTCCTTCCTACGTTTCAGTTTTCGTGCTTTTTTTTACGATTTTCGCTGACCAGCCCCTTCTCGTGCACGACAAGTTGGCGAAGGGAATTGTTATTGTTTGTGACATTTAGAATTTTCGACCTCGTAATTTTTACAACGTTCGCCCGAAATTCAAGTTAAATTACTTAATTTTAAAGGCATGCCTATCTTACAAAACTTTTAAATTGTGCTACCGATGTGTGTTAAGCAACATGTGTTCTACTAAAGACATGTGCTGTTTACGAATTGCGTTGGCATTATCCGTGCATTAAGGATCTCCATTTTTTTTTCTTTTTCTCTGTTTTTTCCAATTACAATGCATTGTACGATAGCATTGACGATGCTAGGCTAGGGATAAAACCATTATTGGACGTCGATTGTTAACTACATTATTCAAATTCTTCTTTCAAATATAATATATATATTTATAATTTAAGATATTATATTACTTAAATGGTGTGGAAGTAAAGCGTAGATGAGAAAAACGATGGTCGTGGATGAAGAGGAGATTAAACGATAAGACGAATAACAAAATGTTTGCTACCTCTCGTTTTGTAAAGGTGTGATATCTATAATTCAAGATACGCAAAGGAATTACTTAAAATACTCATTATGATTTATATGAATATATAAATAAAGAAAACTTCGAGTCGAGCTTTACTGCTTATAAAAACGGGTTTGCGTGAGCTAGAGAATCGAATAAAAATCATTTTTACAAATCTGTCAAACAATGTTAATAACGATAGACATCGTTAATATTATTATTATTATTATTATTATTATTATTATTATTATTATTATTATTATTAATTATATTCACACATAAATTTAAAATATGTGAATTTAAAGTTTAGCTTTGCCATTTCAAGAATTGAATAATTAATGTCTGGTTATAATAAAAAAAAATACTTTAATTTATGCATTAGAATTCAATTATTTTATTGATAATTTACATTCGTATAAAGTACGATCAACGACTGCTCAAGATCTTCTAAAATCGGGACATTTGGCTTCAAATCTAATGTTTAATCATACGCACAATAATTATAATATCGAATGCTTTTAAGCTACGAATAATCTTGAAAGGATCTAATTTTATGAAATTGTTGAATAAAGATAAGGATAGAGGATTTTGACGCCAATTCTTCCATATACAGTGAGCTATTTATAAACAATTAAATATCCATTATTGAAATATCCCGTCATTTACTTTTAATCACAGTTATTTATCAATTAATGGCTTGCCACTTTTTACTTAATATTTGCAACAATTGTTTGAAATTACTTTTATCGTTCTAACTTGACAATTTATTCCTGTATTCGAAAGTTCTTTTTACGAACTTATATACATTGATTGTTGGCCGGGGGGGGGGCGAAAGGGGAGGGGAGTATCTTCAACACACGACTGCTCGTTTAATTCTAATTCTATTTTGAAAACAGTGTTCCAATTTCGAACGATTACGTGGTCCTCGGTCACTGTACACGATGAAGATTCAAGTGTTCTTTTAGAAGAGCCGTAATCAGCGAATAATAAAAGTCGTAACTTGTATGAAAAGTAAAAAACGAAGAAAAAAAAGAGAGAGAGAGAAAAAAGTAATGCTAAGAAGGTGCCTCTGTCGTATATATGCGGTATTGTAAAACGATCACATTATAATTAAACAAATGCTAAATTGTTTAACAAACCTACCATTTGGGTAAAAGTCATTGATATAGTTGTTGTTCTATTATTGAAGAAAATTAATAATGACTGAAATATTTATACAATTTCTGACCAATCGAAATATTATGAGTGAGTAAAGTTAGTTGATATTATCATTTATCAACTACAATGTAGATAATATCGTTAACGAGATTCCTATTTGTTGATGAGTTAGTCACTCTAAGATAGAAAATGAAATTAATCTGGCAAGTAGGTTTAAAAATATGTTAAAATTAATACACCTTATAATGTTTAATAAACAAAACAATCCGTCGAACAATTTTCAAATATTATTTCTTCGACAAATTTTATTATGCCGCACTCTCAACTTTCCGAGATAAAGACGAAGCTTTTATTCAATACTTTAAACGCTATATTTTCATATAATATAAAAATCGTACAATAATATATATATATATACAATAATAGAGAAGCGTATATATAATAAGTGAGGTGGTGTAATGAAGTATATTATCATCAATACTTTCAAGATGTTAGTCGAGCATTGGGGTATAAAGTACGTCGTACTTTTGTAATTACTTATACTCGATATTTAATATGAAAGTATGAGGCTTTCATTTCTGTGATTTTACTCTTGTTACTTTCTGTTTCGAGTTCAATTCAAAGTCTCATTGTTGCCTTTCGAGTCATGATCTAATCAAACATCCTGTGGCACTTTATCTTACATGATTATTAGCATTCGTCTTATAACGCACAATGTTGGACATATTGAGCAAGCTCATTGTTATTATTATATTCGTATGATAATATAGTAAAGTTAATTGGCGCATCTAAGAACGTATTAATACACCATTCGATCATTTTTTTTTTCAAGCAATTGCCAATCGACTCGGATAATAGTCAAATATGCCTATATATAATATTTTCCAGTCAAGGACCTTGAAATTAATACCATTGTTGTGATTTCCATGACCGAGAGTCACTACGTGAATATAGCAACAAAACTATTTCATTTTACATGCACTGAAAATTATTCTTCGAAAGTAACGTCACTTGTGATATTATCCCTTTAATCTGTATTTATATATTTTTTATTTATATTTTTCGTACATTATATTGTTATTGAAATCATACTTCTTATAAATCAATCTCACTATTCGAAGATTTATTGCTGAAATTTATTAAAAAAAAAAAAATAAATAAATAAATAAAAGGAAAAAAAAATCGTGTACCGTATTAAATCTTGTACTTTACTTAATTATAATTTTTGCAAATAAATATAAAACTTTGTACATATGTATAAGACATCTTAATTATCAGCATTTAAAAAATATATTCGGATGGAGGTTTACTTTTTTCATTGGAAAGCTCGGTAACACGTGGCTTTAGACCAAAGCTTTAACCATTAGTGAATTTTTATGGATTTCCCTAATGGTGGTAATTTAATGATCTAGCTATGTATAAAATATTGACGTACTAATTAATTTTAAGGTTTTTCAATTGATTTTAGTACTCATTTATAAGACCAATTAAAGTACAAATTTAGAATCTTGAGTATTCCGAATCGGGAATCCTCAAAAGTAAACAATAAAATTCGTTTCTCATTTGAAAAAAAAAAAAGCAAACAAAAACAAACACAAAATAACAATAAAGGAATGCTGTTGTCACATATACTTATAAATGAATTTTAAAACGATCTCGCGATTACCAATTAATAGTACTTTATATTAAGGACAGATTATTATAAGACTTAATTTTCTGAGATTCAAGGTTGGAAAAATAGTCAACACTGAAACCGTGGCGAGAAACACTATATTATAGCGTATAGATGTTTATTGTGGTAAAGGGCATTAGTACCTTAACACACTGTGTTTGTGTTAAGATATGATTGGTGTTCTAGCAAGTCTTACTTCTCGTGTGGCAAACAACTTAAAACCTTCGTTGCTTAAGGTGTTGCTCGCTTTGAGCAAGTAATACATACTTCGATTCAGGGACGTTCAGCTTCCGGGGTTCAGGTTCAGGTTCAGGTCTAAGCACCCTGGTTTTGCGCGTTGCTCCATGCATTTTATATCGCGATCCTTACTCTCTTTTCTAACCGAACGACCCTAAAACAGCCCGTCGACTGATTTATTAATAATTATTCCTTTAGAATTCTGAAACTTTGTAGTCATTTATTGACTATTTATTTAATATGACATTTAAACGATTTTTCAATAATAATTAAGAATTCTAAACTATCTGCTTATGTACTATAATACGCAACTATACTCTCGAGATCGAGTCAATTTTGATTTTGCATAAATTAAAAAATTTTTTTTTATTATACATAATTATTCATTATTTACATGTAAATGTACCAATATTACCACCATCCCTTAATATTTATTAAGTAATTAATTTAAGTAGCCATTTTATGGTCTAAAGACGAGCGACAAAAACTTATGTGATTTTTTTATTTATTATTATTATTTTTATTTTTTTTTTAATTGTTATTATTAATCTCCATTGATAATAAAAACTTTTACAGTACTTTAACAAAAAAAAAAAAAAAAAAAAAAAAAAAAAAAAAAACCACACACACACACACAATATTAATAATAATTTAGAATTTAAGTAGTCTTACGAACAATTTCACGTTGTTTACATATATTTGTAGGGAATAATTGTAGCCATCAGCAAACGAAAGTTTAGTTTAAAAACACAGCAAAAGCTGAAAACTAAAATAAAACAAATGTTGTTAAGCGTTTAAACTCCATGGACATTTTATATTATAACAAATACGAATTACAAATATTGTATGATTTTTCGGGCGATTGGACATTACCAATTCATTCATATTTTCTCCTCATTATCATGAATATTATTTCTGAAATATATTTCTTTTTTATTTCATTCAAAGTGATTGTGAATAATTGTTGCTTCCTAAAAATCATTTTGAAAAAGGCAGGTTTTCCACAGCAAAATAAAAAATTTGTTGATCTTAAAAAACGAAAGGGCAGTGTAAGATTTCTTATGATAAATTATTTTATAATAATGACTTTTTGAATTATTCTGTTTTATAGATTAATATATTTTTATTCAAAT